GTCTTGATTAATTTATACGTATGAATATAATTACATACAACAGAAGTACACAGAAAATATTATTCAGTTGTGCACATTGACAAACAATCAGAAGAAAATTGAAACGAGCGTGAATAAATTGAGCTGACTATTCAATGAATAATTTGAATACTTGCTAAAAGATTGGAACCACAAATTTTCACGAATTCACCCTTGAATATTTTCGACGCTCTGATGTCTTAAAATTAATGATTAGGTGTATTGAAATTTTTCAAGCTAAAAAAATAGAAAAAAATGAAGTATACATTTTGTACAATACAGACAAAGTCTGCATGCCTAAAGCATTAATTTCTCAAAATTGAACTGTTTAATATTAACAGGAAAAAGAATACTGGACTAACGGAAATGAACTCCGGGAGGTTGTGGACAGACCTACAAAAATGTCCAGAAAAACACCATACTATCATGATAGGGGACCTAAATGCCAAAGTCGGGATGAACAACACTGGGTATGAATGTGTTACAAAGACTGAGAGGGAGAAACGAGGATCGTGCTTAACTAGATTATAGCCAAAGGAGGCAGCATTTTAACCCACAAACGCATACACAATACCATGTAGCTTTCGCCAAAATACAATACGGGAAAACAAAATGATTAAACGTGGATCAAAAAAATATTTTGAGGGTCCATGAAAGATGTAAGAACAAACAGAGGAGCTGATATAAATTCCGATTATCACCTGGAGACGATCAAGTTAGAACTGAAGCATTGGACAAGCAACACTACAGGAAGTAAATAGAGACTTCTTTGAAGATGTAAGTTGATGATAGCTTCTAGAACTAATTTTCAAGTCTTATACAACCTACAAGAAGAATAGGAAACCACTATGGAAAACAAGCAGTAACTGATTGGAGAAACAATACCTTCAACATGCCAGGGTAGAATACTTTGAAGAACTCTTCAATAGATTAGCGCTACTGAATATACAGAATATGGAAGTAGAACACACACATCTTCCCATAAATTAAATCCCACTAACAATAGTAGTCAGCAATCCGATCAAACAAATCAAAAGTAGCAAGAGAGCATTAACGGACTGATGTCACAATTTCCAACAACGTTAAACCAGTTTTATTGTACGATGCTTAAACCTGAAGAACCATTACGAAAGTAATTTACAAACCAGTTATCCTTATGAGATACTCCAGATTTACTGGCCATATATTGTCAGCAGAGAGAAAACCAGCTGTCAGTTGATGAGGAAATCGGTAAAAGACGCTGCAGGTCGATAGGACGTATTTTGCGGAAATCATCAAATTGCATTACAAGGTAATTCCTAAATACGAATCCCCAAGGAAAAAGAGGGAGGCTAATGAACACATTGAGCCTGGAATTGGAGATAGATATAAAGATTAAGCATGCTATGTGACAACAAATGGAAATGAAAGCCCACACAGTATGTTGGAGATCCGCAGTCGATGATTATATGCTCCAGAAGTGGTTACAGACTTAGGTACTTAGGTTAACAGAAATTGCATGTGTTGTTGAACAATAATATGACATCAAAGATAGTTTATAACGATAAGTAGTATAGTAAAACAATTAAGCGTATTAGTAGTAATAGTAGTAGGAGTGTAAAGTAAAACTATGTCACTGAATTAGGATTCAGAATAATGCAACATTATATATATATATATATATATATATATATATATATATATATATATATATATAGACGAATTTAGGATTCACTATGACCTAAAAATTGTTTCCCGATGAGTATCTTATATTAGTTTTTGTTATAGAAAGATCTGTGCGTCTCCATGCTTCCAACAATAATTCTTCTCAATAAATATTATCAAGTGAATGAACAGATAAATTTCGTTTGTTTTTAGTTTCCAAGCAGAACAATAAAAGCCCCAATAATAAATTGTGTATTAAAACAAAATTCAAACTCAACTTATAAAAATATAACTACAAGATTAATTCTGCTTTGTTAAAACAACAGCATTTCATCGTTTACAGATAAACTAACACTGGAAACAGGTAAATTGAGCTTAGGAACGAAGAAATAACGAGTGAAAATCGAAAAGATGCTTGTTAATGGAGACAGAAAAACCCGTATTTACAAAACTATAAACCGGTCTAGCCAAACACAATACATAATTAGAAATCTACTCGATAGATCGCTGTCACTTCATTGAAGTATACATTAGAAATTTTACACCTTCCTATTATTATATATAAAAAATTGCATGAAATTGAAAAAATAGCCCCATTTCATTTTCCGTATCGAACAATTTCGGGAAAGCGGAAACACAAATTCATCCATACACTGATTACTACATACAACTACAAACAGCTTACATAAATACACAATATATTGAGCTATACTATATTGTTTGGCTTAAGTGGCCCTTAAAATGGTCATTTAAAAGTCCATAAATAAGAAGTAACAAATGTATACAGCTTTCATATACGGTTAACATTAGTTGAATAATAATCGGTTACTTAATCCAAAAGTATGTTCGGTATAGGAACCCGTGCTTATGAGTACAGATCAATTTCGTTAGGGATCAATGATGAGATTTTAAATATTTTATTGAAATATTTCATACGGTTCCTAGATTGATAGTCAGTGTGCTTTACTGGACGATTTCGAAATTACCTCCAAACGTAGATGGTGTCACTGATATTAATAGCATGATATTAGTTCGATCTTTATGACTACTGATTAATTAGTCACATTGAATCCGTCCAAACTATTTGTCGTATAATATCCCGTTACAACAATTAGACTGTTTGTTATAGACGATTGATAGACATATAGATTTTTATACATTATTTATTTGAACACATAAATATTGGTACAAAGTGACACCGAATACATATACGCCACACAACTCACTTGATTTTTGTGTGGGCTGTGATACCACCCGGATGCAGTTGCCCAGATATTCTCCAACCCTATTCATCATCAGTGGTGTAAAAATACTTTATACTGATGTATAATGAAACTAAGCGAACAAGACTTTTATTATTAATTTGTATCAACTAGTAGCCCGATTAAATCTTTGGATAATGCTCAAAAATAAGGTTATCCGAAACGATGTATCATAGTATTTGCCTATATCAAACAGTATGGAAAATAGTTTCAACACCATACTACCAAAAAAGTCTAAAAAAACACATACAAATAAGAAACAGATAATAAACTTCGAGTCATGGATAGAATAAGAGTGAATAAATAAACTAGGCACCAAATGCCTGATAGCAATCAAACAATTATTTAAGACGATATAACAATGAACAGAAAACAGGTCAATATCACTAAATAACGATCCTACCTTCACAAAAAATCAATCCACAAGACAGGAAGAAGTTAATTATAAGCAGCGGAAATTTTCAACTTAAGTTATCAAGTAAATTAATAAAGCCTTAGAAACTGACACAAATTTAGAAATTTCTCGAATGGATGTTACCTTTTCATTAATGAAACGAATAGATAAGATTTTAAATTTATAATTACACATATGCGTACCAAAAGAAAGAAATATTTCATCCGGAAATAACCATCATTCTTTTCTATTCACCATTTATTAGAATCAGAAGATAAATATTAATAAAAATAACAACAAATAGGCAACAAGATATCGGTGTAGAGAACAAACAAACAAAAGAGAAAAGAACAAAATCATTTTTAGTTAGTAAATATATTAAAAATAGAATTCAATAGTTAGTCAGTTGGTTAGCAAGTTTCGTTAAACCACATTATATTTGAAAATAGATATGACACAGACTAATTACTTTTCCAAGCAAAGATGGATAGTGGCTAGCAGTGGAATCCAGGACGCGCGTTTCGTCTTATTTGGGACTCGTCAGCTGGATGTACCTGCATCTCAGAGTTGATGTTCACTCTGGGACTTTTTCTTTCACTTTAATAAAGAAATGAGAGAGAAGAAAAAGAAGCTACTACGTTAATTGCTTCTGGTACTATCAGATGCTTCAACCTACAACAGATAGCTAACTATCGATTGTAAATATATAACCATGAATTGGATTCCCAATACTAGTGGGTACAACAGAGTCAACACTATTTAACTACAATAAAAGGTAATGAGAAAAGGATCGCCTCTCAGTCTGTTGGCAAATAACCCAAACCGATAGTGTATAAACAATTTTAAATACTAACGCTAGTACACGCACTGATTTCCATGAGACCATTATCAATTTATCTTTTAACTACTCAGCAGTTTCATAACTAAATTTAAGTACTAACACTGATATATATGATATTTATTCAGTAAACACTAAGATTGACAAAAACAATTTTGATATACTTATGTTATGAGAAATTTAGAAATGATCTAATGTTTCATATATATTTACGCAGTTTCACCATACAGGGTGACGTGATTCAAAGAGTACACTTAAAAGAAATAGCGATCACTTTGACTAACTATTAGGTAAAAGATCACTATATAACAATATATGTTTCTACATTATTGATATATTTATACACCCTATAAAACACTTGATGTCGTTTCTCTCTTGAAATCGACCATAACTTTTAAAAGAAACGTGAGAAATTTGTCTTATTCTTCAAAAATACAAAGGTTTCGCTTTTTTTCCTCAATGAATAAGGACAAGAAGTTGATCCGATTGCATCACGTTATGTTGACGAAACCATCTCGCTTATATCAAGCTAAGAATGTTATATAATGAGAAAATATCAAGTTAAATTGTAAAACTATAATGTTATTATAGTCTTAAACACCATATCTTATAAGTGTAATTTACAATAGTTCACAGATTAAAACAGAGATATACACCATAATATTGATTATGACAAAATGACAATTAAAATTGATTGAAGCAATCCATGTACATACAAGCGAACACAGAAACTAAATCACAAACATATACACACATAAAAGTGTAATGTCAGCAAACAGAAAAATGGCCAAATCAACAATATATAAATACAAAGTGAAAAAATAGAAAATGATTTTTTTACTACAGTCAATTTATTAACAAACAAATGTACATGTATATGATGACTACAATAATATCTACTGGTGTATTTGTACAGATATGTCTAAACAAGGAAATAAAAAACCGGATTGTAATTAACAAACATGTTGAAAATATAAATAAATAACTGATTTCATCCATTTTGATGAAGAGTATCGATAATTCGATATGGACTGCAGAACGTTTCAGAGATAGAGAGATGAATGACGTGAGATAGAATAATTGAAAATCCATTTAATTTTATATCATTGAAAAATTCTTTGATTCATCATATAATAATAATTGATGATTTGATAAATTCATAGTCCCTCTACATAAAAATAAAAACAAGGAAACAAACAAATCATAAGTGAAGAATTATTATATTACAAACATACATTTAACTAAACAGTTTATGTCTATATATATATATATATATATATATATATATATATATATATATATATATATATATATATATATATATATATATATATATATATATATATATAATTTTTTAAACCTACATTTGGATCTATCACCAATCCATGATATAATTTGATGTACATCCAAATGATTTTTCACCTTCCTCCTCAGCTCATGATAATATTAACCTTATGTTAACTATCTCAACAATGATTGGAGTAAAAGAAATATTTCAGTAAGCAAGTGCAAGATAGTTTGCCAAATACCACTGAATTACACTTATTACAAGGATAGTTGGAGATGTAAACAAGATGTTATAAAAAGTATTACAATCTAGACAACAATGAATTAAGTAGGTGATGCAACAACCGAGAAAAAATAAAGCAAAAACAAAGTGAAAACTTCTTATTCATTCTAATGAATGAAAAAAAAAACGAAAATGCATCAAAAACCCCTCTATTAAACTTTGTTTTTAGTGAGGGCAAAGAAATAAAAAAAGGAACACTAGATAAACAGTACTTATATGTACAAGGATACGTTGAAAGAGTTTCAGATTAATTCACTGTCGATAATAATCCAATAATAATGTACATTTGACTCAGATTACTGATTTGTTACTCGTTTGGTGAACGTTACAACCAGAAAGGTCATCTGACTTCTTGAGATAACTCAGTTTACAACGGTACGCAAAAAAAAGGTTACACTCGAACATTACATTTACAGATTTACTTAACACTTCATAAACATAAATACTGACGAGATTGAATCAATACATAAATTATTTCAATCTTTTATTGTCCACAAAAACAAATGATTCGATTACTGTCAACTATTATAAATTGAAATTTAATTAATCTATGTACATTAGATTGGAAAAACATTTTTTCTGAAGAATAATAATTTTTGAAGAGTGTTATAACGACTATGGTTGTCAATGGACACTTTGATCTTATATGCCTACTTTAATGTAATCTTACAATCAATTTATTATATATCATATGAGATCACCCAACAACTACATACATTAATTAGGAGAACAAAGAGATTAGGTTAGTGAAGAAAGAGTAACGAAAATACGTCATGCACGGTATTTTCTAAATATCAGAAGGGGTTTTGTGGAGATTGTAGTAATTTCAATTATTAGGATCATGAGTCAGTTGAAGCTAGACCACCATAAAAAACGGCCGTCCAGTGCTTCCAGGTTTTCCATGGTGGTCTAGCTTCAACTGACTCATGATCCTAATCATTGAAATTTTCTAAATAGTTTAATAAGTTCTGCACACTTACACGAACGATGCAATTGTACATGTAAACAAATACATAGAGGTCATTTGATTTGATATGATGAAGAGTATATAAAGGTCATATTATGCATATAATCTGATTAAAATGTGCATTTAACGAAAAAGAATAGGTTAGTCTTCACAACCAAAAACGCTGCAATAAAAGAATATCATTTGATTATATATATGTGGGTAAAAAAGGCGAAAGGGTTAACGAAAAAGAAGTTGTGTACTAATTCTAAAATGTATACTGATATAATTAAGTGACAAAACAAAACATAACTTCATTTAAAACTGTTAGATAATAACAACAACGTTCACAATTATTCATCTGTATTGGTTGAGTCCGGGAATGAACATCAACTATGGAATGTAGGTACATCCAGATGACAAATACCAAATAGGACGGGACGTGCGTCCTGGATTTAACTACAAGCCATCATCCATCTCTGCTTATAACATTCAAAATAGTTATAACAATAAGTCATAACAAACTGTTCGACAAACCGTATAGATTTTTTCTAACTAAAAGCTGATAAATTTATAATAAATAACAGTAATTGATTATTTGCGGCTAACAGAAAGAAAAATATTCACGTGGAACAATTTAGAAATTTCAAAGGATATGATAGAATCATTGCTTCTGAATTCATTAAATATGACAATTTACAAGATTTGAACGAAGTATCTACACAAATGTCAATGACGTACGGAATCAGATGAATTTGAAAGAACAATATAGTCTGAGACAATTTATGGATACTTTGCAAATAAAGTATATACTGTATGCTTCTAAGATTTTACCAATATATTCTGTAATGTTGTATTAAAATACATTTGGTTGTCTCCACCGATGTTCTCGTTCACTACAAAATAAGTTCTGAGAAAAAATACTATGGTATTTATAGAAATCACTAGTCTTTTCAACTATGCATGAGGCAAAATTTAAGTAGTTTATGCTTAACGGCTACTGATTATTAAATACTGCATCGTTCTTATCATAAATCTCTAGTTCCACGGCGCAACAACATATATTCATTAAGGTTTTTTATATTATGACCTGTATATTATTCTGAATTTCCTAAAACAAAAATTTACTTAATCCATTCGTTATTAAATCAGTCTTTTGAAGACTTATCTCATTGAAATTTGAAGGCACAGTATACTATAAACAAATTCCTTAATTTGATCAAGTTGTTTATTCCAGTAATGTAAATAATTAATTAGAATATCACAAGTGTACCCGACATAATTACATCACCATTATAATAATAGGCAAATAAGAAAAACAATTAAACTTCTATAATGTGATGCATATTTATGCACATACTTAACTTTTATCTACCATCTATCTGGTATATATTGAAATTTTGATATAATCTAAATTTTTGTTAATTCTCATCATCATTATCACTAATCTACGATTTTATCATAATAAAAACTTAGCAAATCTAAAGAAAAATTTATTGAAATAAGAGAGGATAGACAATAACAAAATAAAGATTTACTATTTCCACAAGGAAAGAAATAAGAATAACGAGTAATATAATTTACAAGGTAAAAATATAATTTTTGTTACCCTCTCTATTTAAATATATATCAATTTTCCAATGGTAGAAATAGTTATTCAAATATTAACCAATGAACGTTAAAAATAGGAGGAAAAATACACAACAAAACACACGTTCACCACCACCACCACTAACATAATCATCATCAGCAATAACGACAACAACAGGAAGAAGAACAATAAAAGTATATCGTCCACATTACTGGTCGATCGATCGACTAGTTAGTTTAGCCCGGAAGAAAATATAAATCGATAATACTTCTAGTTCTCGTTAGTTAGTTAGTTTAAGTTAATGTCTAGTTGACCAAAACATTGAAAATCAGAATTAGAATAATTTGGCAGAAAAACTTATTTTTCCTTTGTAAAATCTGTATACGTGACTACTTATAGCATGTCACACGTGGAGGTAGGAAACATTAAGGATTAATAATAAAGCCGAAAAACAACAGATTTAGTGTCTCTCTGTGTATACATGTGTATATACATGAATTTATTTTTAAAGACCTGAACACAACAGTCGACTATTTTAATCGAGTGCTAAAAGGATACAGCTGAGAAATGAAGTTTGGATAGAGTGACAAAATTGTCTAAAATGTGAAAAGTTTAATTTAAACACTTAATTTAACCTTAGTTGTTACCTGGATTATAATAATGATATTTGACCCTAGATATTTAAGTGGATCAACAAACAAACAGAATAGGTTAGTTATTTCAATCAAAAATAAAATAATATTCTAGGTATTTATATCGGGAATTTATAAGCAATCAATAGTAATTCTTCTTATTTTATGAACTAACCAGTCAGTTGTAAACAACTTAGAATTTGGCATAAATGTCCAATCTAAAGTGTCAAAACGCATCAGCACTTTAAAAGAAAAAGAAAGTAACCAAATATGAACAGGAAAGTAATTGAAATAACAGTAATATAATAGTCATAGTGAGGAAGACTGCAAAGGTGAAGAGCACATTGGGAATTTAAAATTAAAAAAGTAAAACATAAAAAAGAGCATCTGTACTACTGCGACCAATTTTAAAATGTCACCAAACGTGCATAATCACTGTGATTATGTGAATCTGAAGGATTGTCGTTTATAAACAAAAACTTCAGTCATGTTAGTATAACTAACTAGATAACAAAGATGAAAATATAGTTCACAAAATTACTACATTATATACAACTTCTGTAATAAATAAAAGTCAAAACGGATTATAACAAACATTTTATATGATGTCTATTGTCATGCGAAAATTCGTTTATATATTTGATTTGCCAGACTATAACAGTTTAAGTTTAAAAAAACCGAGTGATATGTGTGCAATCAACACCTTTTTCCTCCTTAGTCATATTAGCGAAAAACAAATACATTAATACAGCTGAAAAATTGTGTGGTACAACAACTATTTCACCGAAACCTCCATAAAATATAACATAATCCCTAGAAAAAAACACCTATCATAATGTAACAAGCTAGTTTTATCCAAAACCACCGTCATGAATTAACCTTTCGCTTGCTATGAAAGGATGTTTGGGGACAGATAGACGCACGGACAAAATGAGTTGATCGATCGATGAAGTGCGACGATACGATGTGACGGAGTCATGGTTACTCACGTGCACAAATAAGCTGACATTAAAAAGCAAGATAGCTATCGAGTGGAATAGGATTTCCATCTGTCAAAATGACACACATTTAAAATAACGAACACAGGAATAAACGTGATTAGACGTCGTTTAATGAACAATCAGAGAATGCAATAAAAATAGGTAATTCACCCTTTAATGCAATCAATGTCCAAATATTACACTTCATTTTTGCTCCGTCATATTATTATCACAATATCATTACAAAATATCAACAGTATGGAGCGAGGCAGACATAATGGTTAGTGTACCGAGATTCAACAAATAGATTGGTTCGAACTCTACTTCCTTTTAAACAGATTGACAGTATCCACTAGAAATTGCACTCAGAAAGTGTGCAACTCAAATCTGAAAACATAGATCTATACTTGGCACATGAGTAACGTAATTAAAAGTTTGAAAAGTATGAAAATATACACAGATACTATATAAACGTATAATATACACTAGTAAAGAAACTGTCAGGTAAAAAATATTATTAGCAGTTTGGTGAAATTGAAATAAAAACGATTCTTTAGTGACGAGTAAACTAAGTTGCTCAATAATCAAAATAGACGAGAAAAAGTTAAATACGCAACATATATCAACAATTATTCAGAGCAACTGCTGTTTCATCATGTACAACATACGAAAAAAGCATATGGACAACTAGAACAATTCCCCACTAGACTAACATAGAAAAAGGATATTTACAGAAAAAGCAACAACTTATATATGTTTTGGATTAAAACAAAACAAAGAAGAAGCGAATATTATTCTTCATGAATCATTTCGCCATCAATCTATAAAAAGTAATGGAGAATAATAACAACGAAAACCCCCTACGATAAAATAAGATACGTAGCGCGATAAGCTGTGTAAATTTGAGTAAATCTTATTTATCTGAATTTGTGTTTCTCTCCTCTTCCCGCTATAGCTTAGTGTCCACTCAATCGTTCTCCTTGCTATTGTAAAGCTCAAATCTACTGAATGTAATGACGTAATGAAATTGTGGCGGAGTACTCAACTGATAAATTTGTCAAAAGAAAGCCTGGATTTTTGTTCCCGAAAAAAATACAGACTAGTTGACATGATTTGTAAAGAACTAAAGGAGTTTTCAAACCGTCCAACCTTCGGTCAATAAGCGTCAGGTTCAAAATCCAGTGCGCATACTTGGGTGTCAGCATCCAGTGTTGGCAAGTATCATTAGTACTCATACACTTAGAGTATGACTCATATTCAAGTATCTGATTTATGAGTAAATTCAACTTTCGATTCAGTTATAGTACCTAGTTTTACCAAGTACAAATTCAGTTATTCAAATTTGGTAATGATTCCTTAACGTAATATACACGACTAGTACTTAAAGTCAGATGATCTGTTTAAGGCTCGAATTTGTAACAAAGTTGATGCTGAAATCAAATGCATAAATGATTAAACCACAATAACCAGCCCGTTTTATCTCTATTGACAGGATAACACAGATCAATAAGAAAGTCGAAAATAAAAATAACCCTACGGGACTACACAGCGTACATAGATGGTTTTTTCTAACATCAGACCGAACAGCTTGTCATGTGACAAACAGATGCATTAGTTCTGTTTTAATGAAATAACCCCACCGATTCTAAAAAGCCATCGAAGATGGTTTAGAGAATCCAATTAAGGCTATTCAAGTGATTAGTTATGGAATATTTCTACAGTAATATATGTCTTAAACTTTAACGACTACGATGATTGGGTGAGTGTCTAGTAGTGGATCCAGGATGCGCATGTCGTCGTTTTTTGGACTAACCAGCTGGATTTACGTATATACCAATGTTATTAGCTTACCATGGGACAACGGAATATTAACGAAAATAATAAACTTATTATAGTTATTTTTATTAAACCAGCATAAAGGTTGCTTAACAACAAGAGATGCATTGACCACACCAATCACTCAATCACAACACATACTAAATGACGACAGACAATAATTTGACATTACATAATAAATAGGATTATTAGTGAAAACAAGTAAACCGCTCACCTCCTGTATAATTCAATTTATTCGAAACTAAAATATCTGCTTGTAATGGAGTCATTTGTAGATAATGTGAGTCAGGATTTTTCTAGAACAGTATAAAACAGAAAAACATTTAATGGTAATATCACAGTTATAAATTGCAATTAACCAGAAAATTAACGCTCTGACACGGCTCGAAATGTACCCACGTGGTCATGCGTATGTAGCCACTGCTATGGAAGTCCTACTCATTTTATTCTCGTGGAGATGGTGCTGTTTATGAAATTAAGAGGACGAAAAGCAAATGTCCAGAAAGTAAACCGAGTTGGTTGGTATGGAGGATACATCTAAGGGAGTTAGAAAATACTGATTCCAAAGCAACAGGACATGTGGGTTCCAGGATTTCGAGGGAACAAATAGTGTAATCTTGGCCACCGGCTACTATGAGATCGCAACTCAAAACATTGCTCCACCGCCTTGTGGTATACAATTCTAAGTAAAAGGCTCGGAAAGTGGCCTCCTGAGAAAATCAACTGCTACAGTTTGTGCACCCGGACAGTATCCTAGCCCATATGCAAGTTCAATTATTTCTGTGGAGCATATATATTTTGGTGAGGATGTCTATACTCCAAAATATGTGAAAATTTAATCAGTGAGCAAAAGAATTCTAATATCTTCTTACAATATCACAAGCAATAGAATGTAGAGATATATATGTTTATTACTTACAATGAATTCCTCATGTAAAACTGGACCCATTGCCTCAGAAACAACTTCATCTACTAAAGGATACGTTTGGCAAAGATACTGAAATTGTCAACAATAAAAAAGCACAAAAGAGTTTATGGCGATTATTATTATTATTATTAGTCAAATTATCCATTATTTATTTCAGTTAAATCTCATAGTTCCTTTTCTTAAAAGGTACCACATTGAAACTGAGTTCATATAATGACTAAACAAATATTTGTAATGATACTTATAGACAACGAAACTAAAATTTGAATAAACTGGATATTTAGAGAACTCGATCAATCTTTAGGGTTCAAATGGTATGTAAACTACTTGATAAAAGAATAAATAGAATCGATTCAAAAATATTACGGATATAATGAAAGATTTTAAACGGTTTGATAACTGTCAATGTGACTTAACTCGATCTATCTCCTACTCCCATCAATTGTTTAGTAATTGAGTAAATTATTTAGAATTCTTAGATTGCTTTTGAAGGCCATGTAAGTTATTATTAGTAGTAATAATGATGATAATAACAATAATTCAAATCTCATTATCATAATTATCAAACAGTAGACTCTAGTTGATATATGCAAATTCACACGCCAATAATCTCTAAACTAATATATACAACATTTAGGATAGATTTCATTCTCAACCAGATAACGATTTTGTAAAGAATATGAAACCTTTTTTTAATTTTCTACCTAGTTAACCTATAAATAAATCGTATCATTAGACGAATTAACTATTTACTTAATAAATCTTAGTTGTATCTAGCAGTTACAAAGTATACTACTAATTTAAATAAATAATTTTTATGTTTTGTTTCAAGTATAAAAGAACTTAAAACTAAACTTTGAAACAAACAATACAAATGATTACATTTACCTCTAAAGATAAACTAGCTTGTCGTTGACTATCTGAAAATTCAAGATTACCCATAGCATATAAAAGATTTGATAAAGCGCCCATCTAGTGGAAAAAAATGAATGATGATGTTGGGGACGTACGTGAAATCTTAAATTACAACTTACAAAAATAAAATCAATGCTGATTAGGTTGTAATTCTTTTACAGTAAATTATCATTTCGTGTGAACATAATTTACGAAATTTCAATACATTTAAAAGACATTTTGTATTAATGATAAACACTCAGTTTAAATACCTTAATTATATTTCTTTTCATTGATATATAATCAAGAAATGTTTATGTCTTTCTGATTGACTAAACAAAGTGAACATTAAAAAGATTCATCTAAAAAACTAGTGTTTTTACTCAAGCGAGGAAGGAAAGAGAACTATAGAGAGTTAGTTTTTTTTCACGGTATTGAGATTGGAGTAGCGCAGTGGACGAACGTATCATATGGTGAAAATGGCAGCATGTTTAAAAAGATAATTATATAATAACTGGCTAAGTGAAATCAATCTGACTTAAATAGAGTAAATGAAACAATGTGAATAAATATTTCCAAAAAGACATGACATTTATACATACATTCTCCCAAATAAATATTCTCATATGATTCATATTTTTTAAGCATCAATAACGAGAAGAAAAACAAAGTAATATCCCACTATTATTTCAATAAATAAAAAAGAGCACAGAGTACAATTAGAAACCAGTCGTCATACAGACAAGATGCTGGACATCAACTTAAAAAAGACAGCAATGAACACTATCACAACAACAACATGAACATAATGGCTGATAATTTAATATATAGAGAACATTATGTTTGTTACATGTACCATCCATCAGTTAGGCAAATGTCAATGGTTTTTTGCTTAAATACACAAAACAAGTCACCACTTGACATCATTTGACAAACGTATAATAAATCTTCGCAAGCACAAGCTAATTTACGATCATTCAACAAATCGTCGTTTCTCTAGATTTTAAAAAAAGTGTGCAAAAGTTATATATATATATATATATATATATATATATATATATATTCACGTGATTTTCTGCGTAAAATTTCAAATATACCGACGTGTTTGTTCGGAAACATTCATTTTGCTAATGATTAGATTTTAATTGGTCTTCGCTTCCTAGGCGATAAAAATTGGAGCATTATATATGGTTTTGCTGATATGAAATAGCGCCTAAAATTTCATATACATACGTACAGTCAAGAAAAGCGAAGATTTATCAAATTAATCATACTTACACACACACACGATATATAATGCATCAAATATTAATTTCAAAATGCGAGGACAATATAATGTTAACTAAGTAGCTCTAAAAAGGAATTAATCACCTTAATATTAATGTAATAAATTGTATCGAACACTATTTAATTTTGAAGTATAACACGACAAGGCTCCTTATAAAACGGAATATTGTCAAACTCTCAATGGACAAAACGAAATATATAATTTAAAAAAGCTATTTATTTTACTTCCTGTTTCACATTCATTCAACAATGCTATTTTGTATTACAACCATTATTATTATTGTGTTTCTTAAAGTGATTTCCAAATGGATAAATAGAAAATTCAATAATAGATCTTATTAATGTACACATTATTATGTGTATCTGTTATACTTTAAACAATACAAATTGGACAGAAATGCTAGCCAGTCAAGTATATAGTCTATCTTGGTTTTTCTGATAGATACATAATTGACTTAACTACAATACAGATTTAGTAGCCTAGAATTGAGAATTTGGAAAAATGTGTCACCTAAAAAGCAGTAAACCATTTTATCATCTACAATTTAGCTATGTGAAACTTATCTACTAAAAGTCCAAAATACGCACAGGTCATAAGCATTCGCTCACCGGTTTCTCCGAAGTAATACCCATATAGAATAACATTGCCGACAAAAATGCTGATGATAAGTGCAAAGAACTGTGTAAGATGATAAATCAGTTGATGAAGATGTAAAACTAAGGTGCATACAAAATCTTTGCATTATGTGAGCAAATTTATAACTATTTAACAAATTATCATCTCGTTGATAGATTTTTTAGAGAAAAAGACAAATAGAGAAGTGACATAATTCACTCAATTTACTGTGATCAGAAATTTCAAGTGATAAACGCGTTAGACCCAATGAATTACAAGACGACATTAAAATAATTACCTTGATTATTTTTCTTGACACCGTCGAAGAATCTTGCGAGAGAATGCTTTGAATGCACGAATTCGTAAGAGGTTAGCAAGAAAGGAAAACAGAAGAAACATACATTGGAGATATAAATTTAAGTGTTGCAAAAAAATCTATACAGAAATATAGTTCAATAGCTCACCAAAAATGATAATGTGGTGCATGCTACTTATGTCGACAAATATGAGTAATATGCAGCACCAACAAGAAGTGGAATGCATGAAAGCAGAAGACTAAGAAAATCAAGCTGAAGACAACAGAAAGAAAAATAGAAAGGAAACGTGAATTGGAAGAATCATACAGAATGTGAAAGACAATTGATGGAATATTCGCAAATGAAGTGTTTAGTATATGGTTCTCATATTTTACGGAAATATTCAGTAATATTGTATTAAACATAATACTGGTTTTCCCCACCCGAGTATCCATGCACAACAACACTGCATAAAAGAAATCGTGACATAACAACCGCTTCCAATAATAAAAATAAATAATAATAACGTCTAGCTTCCAGGTGAATTTTCGAAAGTTCTATTTTAAGACGTAACCAATGGATGGTCAATATAAAAGAAACGGTTAACACCGACTTCATTGGATGTTGTCGAGATTTAGTTGAAGTTATGAGTGTGAACCCTTAGGGTTATCTCCAGAATGTAGATGAACACTTAAGAGATGTGACATTTTTCAAGTACTTTTTAGTTTTCAATACACCTTACACGATGTTAGGTTATAATTAAAATTGTAGTTTTAATTTCAACTGCACCGAATTGTGAATAAATTCAAGTTGGGTTATCATATGTAAAAAGTACATAGGAACTGAATGGCAGTGCTGGTTAAGAAATTTGAAAATATTGAATTTGATTCAGATTTACAGTCAAAAATTCTGAATGCTTGATTAAACGTCTAGACTTTCCATTGATTCTCTATTAGATGTAAAAATCCAATGAACTTAGCAGTAGTCAACTTTCAAAAACCCATTTTATTTATACAGCTTTTATTTAAACTTTATATAGAGTTTAATAAACAATCCAAATTAAATTTAATCAATGTGTATTAAGTTAATATTAAGACTAAAATTGATATACGATACAATGACTTTATTTACTAATACATATTACTACCAAATGATGACCAAAGAAGTGTGAATAAAAATAAAAAGCAAGTGTTTGCTTGCTTAACTGATTTGATATATATACTATTATCTGCAATTCAGTCACATGTACCTAAAAATCGAGATTTTTGTCATTTAACAGGACAAAAGACAATACAAGTCATGACAAACATGAACATACAGATCAACCTGTCATACATATGTATATATCTCTATGGATAAACTGGAATATTGAAATTGAAGAGAAACTAATATTTCTTTTTAACAAGAAAAATATTTTTCTTTATAAAAATTAAGTGGATAACTATTCTAATATAAAAGTAATAAAACTGTCCTATCGAAGAGTAATCATGCACATATGAACAGCATACTCGAAAACTTATTTTTCTTTAAAAATATACACAGCACAGATCATTAGAGATAGAATACTGAGTCATTTTACGCTGAATCCTATCAGTGGTGACACAATACCCTTTATTAGAATATCCACAGTAATACGAAATTTATAAAATTGACATTGATTGAATGAATTTATTACAAAAAGTTATATAGTTAACATACATAAAATAAAAAAATATAACCAGGCATTAAGTACACATATAAACAGTCAGTCAACTACAAAGTAAGACCAGACACACATATGCATCCGTCCAAGCCGCCACACCTCATTAGCACAACAAGATCGACAACAAATTCATAGAAGTAGTCACTTCAATAACAGTAATATATAACAGAGAGATTGTGTATAGGGATATATATGAAAGAAAGACTGCATATAAAGATATAGTACAAGAAGAAAGAATTAGTTTGTAGAAAGGAAGATATAAAGTAATTTTAATCTCACGGTTTAAGGGAAGATAAAGAGTGTATACACGGACGCCAGTGTGACCGATTCTGAGCCATGTCAACCAGAGTCTCCAACAATTGGTTAGGATAGTCACGCGGACCACAACCAAGTAGTCTGCATTTACTCTTAATGGTCACGCTTAGCAACCGCAAAGTAGAACAGAACAAACTGCCGCACAGTATACTCGTCCCGTAAGTGATAGATGGATATCTCGCCTTTGCCATAGGTGACGTAAGTTGACAAAAGATCTCTACTCTAACACAACTAGTCAGGTGAGAGCTTATGGCGAACTGTCATCAGAGCTGATTACCTCAAGTGGTGTTCGTCAGGGCTGTCCACTATCTCCATTCTTATTTAACTTTGTCGTTGACGTGCTTTTAGAGATAACACTTTCCATATCTAAATTTCCAAGGGTTGATCTTCTACCGAAAGATTCACTTGTTGACTTAGAATATGCCGATGACATAGGTCTATTTGGTGAAGACGCTGACAAAATGCAGAGTCTTCTGACCACTCTAAACAACAATGCACGCATGTTCGGGATGTGATTTTCTCCCTCGAAATGCAAAATGTTGCTTCAGGATTGAGTTGCATCGACACCCGGACTAGTGATAGGGAATGAAGTAGTTGAGCGTGTCGACCGCTTCACTTATCTCGGAAGTCTCATCAGCCCTTGTGGTTTGGTGTGTGACGAAATCTCAGCACGGATACAGAAGGCTCGACTAGCTTTTGCCAACTTGAGTCATTTGTGGCGTAGGCGAGATATCCGTCTATCAACCAAAGGACGTGTTTACTGCGCAGCAGTTCGTTCCGTCCTACTTTATGGCAGTGAAACATGGCCGGTAAGAGTAGAGGATATTCGTAGGTTACTAGTATTCGATCATAGGTGTCTTCGAAACATTGCTCGTATATCCTGGGACCACCAAGTAAGCAACTCAGTTGTTAGGAAACAGGTACTAGGTAAGGATGGCAAATCAATTGATGATGTAGTGAAACTTAATCAGTTGAGATGGCTGGGACATGTGTTACGCATGCCAGACCACCGACTGCCCCGACGTGCAGGTTGGAAGAAAGTTAGGGGCGGAAAGACCAAAACATGGCACAAATCCATGAAGTCACTGACAAGTGGACTGAGTCATGTTGGTAGGTGTAGACTACCTGGTTGGGGTCCGCGAGACGATAGCAACCGATGGTTAGAGACCTTGAATGACATGGCTCAAAATCGTTTGCAATGGCGCCGGTGCATCCACTCTTTGTGTTCTCTCAAACTCTAATCTTCTGAATTATTCATGTCCTTTATTTTCTTTCTAAATCTATTCCACTGGACTATACTCCTTAAATAACATCATCAAACCTTAATGTTCCCTATCACTACTTATACTTTCACTACCTCTACCACTACGGGATTTGAATCGATAACTGAATCTCTGTGCTAATGTGGTATGGCAACTCGAACTGATGGACGTACGTACGAAGTTCCACGTTGTTACTGACTGACTGACTGATTGCTTACCGTAGACATTTAGCTGCAGCTGCTTGTTGTACAAACACCGATAATGGTTGATTACCATCGAATTCTGAATTTGATCCTTGATTTTGATGTCTATGATTCTTTTTCATCGTTTTTTCTGTTTTACCGCTGTTACCGTTAGTACAATTGCTAGGGTATTTGACATTCAATTTAGTTGACTTTGTGTTGCTCATAGATCGAGGTTTCATTTCTGGTATGCCACTAATATTATGACTACCTAATGGGGTATGATGAGAAGCTGGAAAAAGATATGATGGCAAAGTGATATTAAACAAACAGTATACAGTGTTTATTAATTATTAGTCAAAGTATTGTATAGGTGGTTCTAATATATAACAAACTAAGAGTCAGGGATAAAGCGATACAGGTTTTTCAGATAATAAAGCGTACTTATTCCTGATGTACACACTACTTGATATGGCTATCAATACAAACTTCAGGTAATTTATATAGTTACAAAAATCCTGAATTTACTACAATCAGCATATACTTGCTTCTTGTTCACTCTTTTTTCCGTACCAACTAAACTTTCACTGATTATCGATTTCTTTATTTTATTGTATTATTTTAAAAGTGTGGTAAGTTGATGGAATATACACCCAAAACTTTATATTGTTTCCTCATATGATCGAATATGAAGTTAGATAACACTTCATGATATGAGGATATGAATAATAATGTTGGAGAAGATATTATCAATACAAGATTAATTTTTTACAGCTGACTCCTATTAATTTTCATTATACTGAAATTAATTTCAACTTGACATTGTAAAATATCATTGGAGTATTTTACATCATTTTTAATGTTAAAAATTATGTAGACAATTTAAAAGAACCTAGCGAACTTCGGTAGACAATCATTTGGAAACATAACAATAAGATAAAACAAAAGTTATCTTTCAACGACATTAATCTTTGTCCTAACTACTACTTACATACTTAAATTACTGCTTTAGTGTATGTATACGATATTTATCAACTTTATTATGTACAATCAAAAACAGAATATAAAAGAAATATTATTTTTACGATCAAACGATTTAATTACACTTACGATAACTTTCCGCATTACTGTCCATATGAGATGAACTTATTTCATCATCGTTATCATCTGATGTTGCTTCGGTGAATAATTTGCCCAGTTGTATTTCATGCTGAGGTTTTAACAATGTAATTAAAGCCATTAATATATCATCAGCAATATCGAATCCCATCAGAACACGAACTAATTCAATAACTAATACATATAAACGAAAATGGAAAGAAAGTAGAAAACAGATTTGGCACAACTTTATAGTCAGAGCACAATATTTGAAAAATTCTCATATTGTGATTTAGAAGAACATATATAAGCGAACAATATTGTTTTCGATTAAATCCTCATCAGGCTTTACTCTAATTATTAAACCAATCAAGGTAGTTTATGAGTCAATGATAACATAAATAAACATAATAAGTACAAATTGGTAGTGTGACGACAGGTGTGTTAGTTGTGATAAGAATAATAAAGGCTTGAATCAACGTTTCATAATGGGAAATAGGTCAATGGTTAGAAAATTATAGACACTGAAATAATGTTTATAAAAATTATAAGATTACGTAATAAGAAGTGTTCAGATAATTGGACCGTGAAGCGTATATTTGAGAGGAAAAAGGGCGGATGGGGGTGAAGAGAAATAAACGAAAAAAAGTATGGAAAATAATAATAAATACAACCACAAACTGCCTTGATTGGTTTAATAATTTCGTGTATGCATATAAATATTACTGTATATTAGAGTAAAGTCTGATGAAGATTTAATCGAAAACAATATTGTTCGCTGATATATGCTGTTCTAGAGCACAATATATTCAAAAGCACACAATGTCTTTTTAACCGATATATAGGTACTGTAGTTTCCTAAACGTTTTGAAAAATATTAAAGTTCACCAATTGAGATTAGTAGTAGCGTTAAAAGTAGAAGACTCCAGGATGAATTTGCTTATGCTTCTTTTCTAGTTTACATAGTATATCGTGTTGAGAGTTAGGTTAATACGGGATTTTTAGATATATAATTTAGACTACAATATGTATACGAAAATATTGTCCAACATTGGCACAACGGTATTTTTTTTATCGTTTTACATAGCTTTTGCTCATCGATGCGTACTTGTCCCAGACTGCATGACTAAATGAAAATTTTTTTAAAAAAAAACTGAATTTGTGGCTTTTATATTGATTAGAGTGCATGGGACAGAGTAGAGGATTGTTTTCCTCTCAGGAATAAATTTTTTAAAACGTTATGGGCGTCGATTTAATATCCAGTATTCCCCAATATTTCTATTCATCTGTAAAAGATATCACCATTCGAAAACAAGGAGACGATATGGTAAATTCTATGTATGTTATATATACATCATGGAGAAGATATACCGAAACAAAAATGGATTTATTAATGTATCTTAAAGCAGATCATAAAAAGAATAATGTTAGGCTAGAATAGGATAGACATTCAGTGATATTTCTATTTACGTCATAGTCTAGAAAATGCACTTTAATTAATTAATTAATTTACGCAGATTTTTACTTGAAAAACCTCTAAGATAAATAAACATTTTCGTAAGGAACGAAGTTAAAGACAGAAATCAAGACATCAAATACCATGAAATCGAACATTTACTGAGAACAACATTACTTTTAAAAAAATACTTCAAAAACTAATACATGCGCTACATACTTGACAGAAAAATAAAGTTACATATGAACTACAAAAGGAAAAAAAGGATTTATGACAAACCAGATGTATTATGGCATTTGAAAGAGTAAATGAATCCTATACTTAACTATAACATATATGCTAGACAAAGCTATATATAACCTGTACTGTTATATATTGTAGACAGTTTTAGTCAGTTGAAGTGAATGAATTTGAAATACCAGTGCTGAGAAAAAATTGAGGGATATTTCAGCTATATTAACAACACAAGTACAGTCTCGAGAAATATATCAACTTAAACTGACACAATCCAATGACAGAAACAGTAATTTAGTGCTCCAATGGAATCGAATTTTCATCAATGGAGTATATGGTTTGAAACATTACATATATATATGAAAATCATAACAGATAACCTGCCTGCTGATTGTACTTCCAAATGCAATGACTCCAGTAAGTAGATTATTCTGTCGATTAAGGCCCTATTGGCAGTATTACGCTTCGCCTAAAATAGTAATAATATCAATAATAATAAATTTGTTGTTTTATTAACAGAGCTGATTTACAAAAAAATAATGATTGTTAATGGTGAATAAATCATATAATGTTTTTGTGTTTAGAAAAAAGCCCTTTTAATAATAAAAAACAGCGTTCCAGATCAATGTTTAAAACATATATCGATAATGCTACTTTTAGTGAAGTAAACATTGAAATTATGAATAAATTGTCAGAAAAAAATAAGCTGATAACTGGTAAACAATAATGCAACGTTTAGTTTATTCACATCAAGATTCTTCGGTTAAGATAAATTATTTAAACAAGCATCACTGATATTCGGAAATCAAAGCTTTAGTTTATGCGAAGATATTAGTGGATAGGATAACTATAGTGATATAGGCACATTAGTATAATGAATGAATTCTGTTATGAAGCATCTTACAAAGTCAAAGACGAAAACGTCACACAACATTGCTGCCATATGTATAAGTTTCAACTAGTCAAAAAATAAGTACATACCACCCAGATCAATTAGCATACATGTTTTCTTGAATAGGGTCCCTGAGATTGTAAAGTTGGTTAAAAATAACTGACTTCATAACACAAAGTTTATCACAACGATGGATATACATTTATTCTTTATCCTTCATTAAATAATAGAAATTTCGTGAATCTGCAGACGCAGCACACATCGATGACGCGAGATTCTTAAGTCATAGCTAAGGAAGCCTGTTGTCATATTTGGCACAGTGTTCGGACGTTAAAAGTTCCTACATGTAGTTTAGAGCGTGGTTTCAGGAGACCACGAATAACGTTCCATGTACTTGAATCCTTCGCATTAGAGGCGCAAGGTTAGTCGTGGAGATAAGAGAGTTATTAGGAGGTGTAGGAAGGATTTGAATGTGACCAACTTGGTCTGTGTGTTGTTATGGCTATGAGGGCTGATATCACATCCTGGCTGCCAACACCGTGGAACAGTATTTCATGAGGAACCTGATAAAAAAGTTGGATTAGCGTTGGTCTTAACAACCTGGGAGCGTGACCGTAGAGCCCAAGGGAAAACTGCTTGAGGTCGGTCGCACGCGGCCTTTTTGTGGGTTTTTAACGTGTTAGCTCCGTTCTTCAAAAGACCTTACCACCGGAGACGGAAGTCCGTGAGGTAAGGTGAGGTGTGACATTTTTAGGGTCAACCTTTTCTAACCCCGTTCTTCCTTGTGAGAAGGCAGCATCGCTGTAGATGCTGGTTGTCGTAGGGGAACATCTTACTACTGTCACATCCCTCTACAGTCAGCAGTACGACTTCGCCCTCAGACCTTGAGTTGCTGCTTTGAGTCTTACCGTTTTCTAATCGACCTGCCTGGTATGGTAGGACCTACAGGAACATATATTCCGGCCAACACGATATACAAGCCCGACCACCACGTTAAGGTAGCAACTACGGTCAAGATATATATATATATATATATATATGCATTCAATAGTCATAGAGGAAATGACAAAACTAAATAACAGTTATTTTCCTTGAAAAAGCTTGGACCGAATTGCCAGGCGAAACGTTGGATTTACTTCAAATTCATTGGCTGAGATTTTACAAATACATTTTTCCTCTTTAAATAACAGTATATTGATAAGGCACAAAATCAACTACATTAATAAATATGGAAATACAATTCTTTCTGTAAAATGTTTTTGAATAAGTTACCTGAGTGGTTATCGCTATATATGTGAGGCGCATATATACTTGATGCCCTTTTGTACCAATATTTGTGTTCAAATAAATAAATAAATAAATCGCTATATATGTGACCAATTATAAACAAAATAAAAGCAAAACGTTGACCTGAAATAATTAGCTGAATAATTATGCAATATACATTAACAGGTAAAAAACGTTTAGTGCTTTCATTTTGTCCACAAGCTTTAATATTTTAAAGTATGTTTTATCAGCTTACACAGGGTAATTTACATTTTTTGGCATGTTAACCGAAAAGTCTCATAAATTTGTTGAAAAAATGAATATTGTAACAAAGAGAAGGGATATGTGAGCACCTCTATGCGTGTGTTCAAGAGAAATTACAAAGACATTATTTATTTCATTAAATGACACTTTTTGCTTAGCCTATTTCTCTTCCAATTCATACGAATATTCACAGTTACATGAACGATTACCCTACTGCTTCGTGTTAACAATTTTATAATCAGTGTAGTAATAAAATTTATTATTTATTGGTACAAATGGACACCGAATACATATGCGCCACATAAATCGTTCGATTTGTGTGAGGGCTGGGGTACTGCCCGAGTGTCTAGACCGAAGCGGACTTTCCACATCCCCAGCCGTACCAGGGCATTTGGGGGCGTAGTAATGAAAATATATTATCTAACACTTTAGTGATCCAAATTACTTTAAAACGGATGGTGGAACAATAAAGAAATCAATTTAAGACCAGTTAAATCCGAGTTTATTTATTTTTCACTTAAAATTTCAGGCTGAGATTAGTACTTTTAGTAAGTTATATAAATATGAAAGTTCTTGACGAGATTTTTAAAAAATTTCACTTTCAGTTGAACTAGTGAATTTTGATCAATTTTGTAGATATTGTATGAATGACTAACAATCGGTTTTCAACTAAGATATAAACAGAGATTATTAGCACATCAGGAACGATAACGACTCATAAGATTTATAATCAAAACTGATTTTATATAAATAACCAATTGTGTTGACTGAATGTTTATCAATTTGTTAATTAAAGGCAAACAAAGCTACAACTACATCTGGAATCAAAAAGCGACTGTGTCAATTTCGATACTTTATGGTAGTATTACTAATTCTCCGAGAAAACAGTAACTGACATCATTATAATGAATTATGTGAAGAAAATTTACTGATAATGTGTGTTTCTACTAAACTTCAAAATAAATTTTCTTGGGAAGTATTAGCATTTTGAATGGTTTAGTCAGTGAACAATAACTGGAGATAACCCAAGAAAACGTGATTCAGTCGGTCAGAGGACTTTAGTAAAAAATTTGAGTTTTATGTTCTCAACTAATGTATTTATGAACAGACAGTTGTTAGCCTTTGTATGCAGATGTGATAAATTAGTAGATAAAGCAATAAATCGACATAGATTGAGATAGTTAAGAACAATAATACAAATGTACAAAGACCAATCTCCATTCACCATACTGTCCAGTAAGAGAAAGGGTTGGAATAAGTCTAAAGGGTAGCTAGACAGAGATATGACTTCGATCCGTGAAGTCATTAACTTCCAATTTGGGAACTGCAGGTAAATAGATGCAGACTTTACGGTTGTAATCAATAAGAGAGTTATAATGGATGATAACTCATAACTTCAATTGACATGACTGTAAAACGATGGCACTAGTGCCAAAGTATTTATTTTTTACCTTTATAAACTTGGAATATAATGTTATTTCGTCTGTTCATTGTTCGATTTAATCTGTCTCTTCTAAATTTATCCTGTTTTTCATTTCATATTTGGTTTTTCACTACTAGTGACAGTATTTCATCATATGACTTGTTATTAGTTTTTCTTTACTGTTATGTGAAAAAAATGACAACTTAAAACTGCAGCTTTAATATCCTATTTTCGCTATTTAACATTAAAGTATTAATGAGTATTTTTATCTAGAAAGCAAAAACTGGTCCCATGATAACATATCATTTTATAAGTGAAACTGACTTTAAGCTATAAGCTAGAATTCGAAAATTGATAAGATGGATTGTACAATAATTATAGAACATTTGAACAGTTTGCATAAGTTTTATCATTTTACATAAAAGTACTAAAGCATATACATCGAATGAACAAGTAGAAAAGGACATGTACGTTTCAAAGAACTTAAAACTAAGAAGTGCTACGGATTTAAACACCTCAATAAATCGACACAATCGATTGTGGACATAATGGCGATGTTCTTCAACTTTTCAAAACAACTAAAAAGCGTAACTTCATTACGCTTTGCTGAACTATTAATTATCAAGAAAATCTCAACTAAACATATGCGTTTAGAAAGATACAGTTTTTAATTTATCACCAGCATGATAAAATGATACATCTTGTTGAGATTGGAAACCAATCTAAACTAGAGCTAACTTTTATTGGTTTCTTATCATAACAAAACTCAACAATATCCACAACACCCATACAGAATATACTTTGTGATTGATCTCTATTTATTACTACTATGATGTATGTATGCTGACAGACATATGTAGAATGTAAGACCAAACGGATGATGAATGCATGAAAGCAGAATGTTGAGAAGATCGAATAGAAAAAAACGAGAATGTAAACAGAAAGGAATAGTGAACTGGAAGTATCATACAGAATGTGAAGAAAGATTTATAAATGAAGCATTTAATATACGGCTCTTAAATGTTACGAAAAAATTCTATAAATTTGTATTAAATGATAAGTTGGTTTACTCCACTAGAATGTTAGTTCACAACACTACTATTATTATCATGTCGTTTGTAATACGTCATCTAATCTTCACTTAGCCAAGTTGCATTTCAATCACCTAGTCCTTGAAACTTATGAAAACACATCAAATATTCTGTAATTATAACACAATCTATCTTATTAATATTCGAGCTCTGATTAATTAATATCTGACTCCTTGATGACTTATCTTCAAATGACCTCACGGATGGAAATGCATATATATATATATATATATATATATATATATATATATATATATATATATATATATATATATATGCTTAGTAGTAGTTAACTAAACGACCACATTTATCTGAATCCATAATAGCCTAGAATTCACTCAAATCATAAAAGTGAAAATAATGATGATGTGCATTCAGAATACAAGGAGTAATGATGCTACTGATCATTTAAGGTCTAAAATATTGGTTAATCGATAAAGGTCTGAAATCTACCACACTTCTCCGAATGGCTAAAAGCAGAGTGAATTTGCGAAACTTATTTGAAATGTTATAATTTACCTGTAAAATTCGTATACTTTGAAGTGCTAATTGTTGAGCTTTTGGTGAATTACATGGTAAAACGCCAATTAATCCTTTGTAAACTTGATCAGAGAAACGAGGATTGCCTTCAGCTAATATTTCTAATAAATCTCTAGCAGACTCCTGTGTTTCCTCTGATTTTGACTTGGCCATACATTCAGCGACAGCACGAATGCCTAGAAATTGTTTAAATCAAAATTGCACAGGTGATCTATATTATTTATACTATCTGGTAAACATCACTACAAATTTAAAAAATTATTTATATTATAAAATATGTCAATGATTTATACTTCAAAAGTTTGAATTATAAAGGCATTCATATCAAACAATTATTTCTAACTTAGCAGTTCCTCGTTGGTTATCAGAGTAGCTACATGTACACTTCTGGATAATTTTGACAAAAATATTATACTACAACGTTATACTACACATATCATTTGATTATGAAAAGGTTCTCTTTCATTTGACCAATATACCTTAATAACTAAATTTATTTATCAATGAAGGCACAACAGAATAGTATCACATTATGATCTTTATCATTATTTATTAACTGGAAATATCAATCGAACAGTCTTAATGTAGATTGATTAATCAAAGATTATCTATCATAAGTGGTCACATCTTGTGCTTCTCTCTCTCTCTCGTATGTTTTTTTTTACTTCATAATGAAAAACTGCTCAAATCCAATTAACATTTATCAATCAACGAAGTAATTGTTTTTTTTTAAACAAATAATACACATATATTATCTTTGTTTTCATTTCAAGAATACAGAAGAAACTTATTTCCCAATTTTATTATCAATAATAAATTTAATTAAACACTAAATAAAGGAAACATGGTCAAGCAGATGAGAGAAGAAAAAATATATCTAAATAATATTAGCAGTCATAGTATTAACAAGAGAAGTAGCAGAGACAAGGGGGAACTATACAAATGATATAAACTTCATGAACCTACTAATTGAAGGATCTAAGACGTATAGAAACGAAAACTACATAGCCAAACAAAGAATATAATATAAAACAATCAAAAAAAGAGAAACTTAAGGGAGAGCGATAAAATGAAACATAAAAGGAAAATTAAGTGAGATAACAAGAGACAAACTAACGTTTATAATAGTAAATAGAAAGGGAAAAAGCAATTATTTACCATAACATTCACAAATTGTCTCCTTATAATGTGTACCAGCATTGGCAACGCAAGATAATACTTTAAGCGCCCAACGTTTATCCACTTCTTTTGCACTTGATGAAATGCATACTTCCTGTAAACACAGTACACCACCATGCTCCAAAAACTCTAGCAAATAATTATAGCTTTTAGCGAAGAAGGTTAATGGGTGGGTAGGTAGATAGGGAAAATATCAAGAACACAAAGGATAAAATACAAATTGATTGTTTCCTTTGAAGGGAGGGGATTTATGTGATTTGTGAATAGATATATATATGAAACGTTATTAATTGGATGAACAAACTAGCTTATAGTATTGATTTTTTACAGGGTATGTAGCCTAAAACTTCAAGATATTATGGACAAAGTGTAAGCAATGAACAGCGTAAGAAATATAAATTTTTTTTCACCAAAACTAAAGGGTTCGAGAAATGGATATCACAAGGGAAAGTGTGCAGTGTTGCAACATTGCAAACTGTGACTAAATGTTAATAAAACACTTCTTGCTGATATAAGTTTTATTTGGATAACGGCAATCCAAAATTTATTTTAAAAGATGTAGAAATGTAATGATTATTTATAATCGACATGTTGAACTAAAATACGCAGTGAGATATAACACTAACTGTAAATATGGATTACATTCAAATTCCTTACTGCACACTAATAAAGATTATCAAGGGAAGATCGATTCAAAAATTTAGTACTATTATGCATAAATTGCAATATCAGTCCGTAGAAATAAAATAAAGCTGTTGTCCTTCTGCATAAACCTCAAAAGCTAAAGCTATCCCAAACTGAACACATTTTCTGTGAGTGTTTAGATTAGCCTGCTTAAAATGTTGAAATATATAACAAGAATTGCAAATTAACTAGCCAACTATCTATCCGTATAGAATCCTCGGTTAATATTTTGAAGTCGTGTTTTTTGTCAAGTGACCCGAATGATCATTATCAGCCTAGAAGTTTTAAAGCTAATACTTGTAACAACACGTTTTAGCTGATAATATATGAAATATTACTTTTAACAACAAATGAATATTGTCGAGGTAGTGTGTAGAGTATTTAAAAAAGAAAGGAAAGTCAGTCTGTGAAAATGAGGACTTACGTTAATTGAAATAGCTGAAAAATGCGCTTTAAATTTTAAGGCAACATCTAGTCCTATGATCGACGCTGGATAGTGAAATATTGAAGTGAAAGAAATCTACAGTTAATCAAGTTGAGGCATAGTATCAATTTAAGTAAGCACACTAGAACAGTGATTCATTGGTTGAGGCGTCGGATCTTCAGCCATCAAGTAATGAGTTTGAACCCTGTTACACCTATCTCAATCTAGACAGTTAGAGTATCAATAACCCTTGGTTCAAAGACAAGTGCATGAATTCGTACCTTATAAAGTAATTATTAAGTCAAATGTAGGCACTGAATCCTATAGAGCCATTCGGGCCCAAAAGCTTATATTAAACCAATAGACTGGATTACCGTAGAATCAAGATTTTAAATACGAATAAGTAAGTTACACAAATTTTGTAAATCATAAAAAAAGTAAGGGAAACCGACAAGTCAAGGAAAACATTAAGCTAATATATTAGCTAAAAAGGTAAGATTGATCTTCACTTGGATCATATAATTCAGTTATTTAGATTTTAAAGTGTCGAGAATATTTCACATTTTTATCTTAATTATGACCCTACCTTGTATATAGCTTTAAATTTCATCTTATGAATCAAAAAGGCCGCGTAGATTTACTTCTTTTCCATTTCCATTGACAATTCCTAACAATTTGTACTTTTAGCATATTATAGGCTCAGAATCAATCACAATAGCGTAGGTGTATACACTCTCTGTCTTCCCTTAAACTATGAGAATAAAATCGCTTCATATCTTTCTTTCTACGAACTAATTCTTTCTTCCTGTACTATATCCTTATATGAAGTCTTTCTTTCATATATTACTACCATTGAATTAACTACTTCTATGAATCCGGTGTTCATCTTGCTGTGCTAACCAGGTATGGCAACTTGGATCAATAAATATATGTGTCTGGTCCTACGATGTAGCTGATGGACTGATAGTTTAATTTATTTTCCATGATCACTGAATATTTATACAATTGTTTGTATAAAACATTGCTTTTGTTGAGTTAGTACAGGCTTTTTATTTTATCCATCGCTTGATTTGTGCTTATATACTAATGTTCAGATCACTACTCTTTTCCTTAATTGTGTACTGCTATTCTACAACGCCTCGTACTTCTCCTACCTATCAGACAGTGAATTTGATAAATAAAGGTACCTCTTAGAGAAGAAGTATAAATACCTAGTCAGTCAATTTTAAAATTTGCCAGGTTCTAAAAAACGACGTATTTATATGCATTTTGTACACATAACGAGGTAGAAAATGTTTATTTATTTGAACACATAAATATTGGTACGAGGAGGCATCAGATATATATGCGCCACAATAAAGAAATTGTCTAATGTCGTGTGAGCCTAAATTAACCTAATGATGAACTCATGTGATAGCCAGTTGTAGAATTACTGGCTTAAGATTGAAAGACCATTGAAATAATTGAGAAAATTAAGTAATATTACCATGCAATAATACCCACAATACCGATACATTCGATCTTAGTTGTGCTCACAATGTTAGAACTTGAACTGATAAATTACTATAACTAGTTGTACAGTATTCCAAAAAAACTTATAACAAAAAAGGTCTTACATAGACTACTAGAAATAGAGTTTCTATTTATAGGAGCATGACTATCGTGAGTACAAGACTACTCAAATAAAGTATGCATATAGCGATGAACCGATGATTTGATGAGTTAAAAACTTTGGATTTAACAATAATCATAATAGTTACCAGGATACTAGCCAGAGTACGGAAATCCTACTTTGTTCATTCCCCAGTTTCTTAAACTTCCCTTATATCAGCTACAAATTTTTTAAAATTAGATCAGTTTTAAGGATACAAAACCGAAACTAAGATAAAATAAATTATGGTAAATTTGTAAATCAAAATTTTTCTATGAATAGAAAGGCAGTTTTACATTAGTTTACCTGTTTGATGCTGATAAAAATATATGAAGAGCTTGAAGCTGTTCTGTTAGACAAGTTCCTGACATGTAACTAAAAGACACGAAAAAATTTAAAAACATTACACAGATTTGATTTTAAGTCTGCATTAGTGTGTAATACATCGGATCACAAACTGCTCTATGTGCATGGGGTAAAAAAGCTACTCAGATGTTCAAACTGAAATAAGAGAAACACGATAAGGACATGCGACCGGAAGATTAAATCCTTTAATTAATAGGTCCATGCTCCTTACAACATTATTCAAAAGTATGATTAAAAGAAAATTGCGGAATATATTCTTACACGACTATAAACCAAGTATTAATTTGATGACCAATTATGCCTACTCACGAATACCATGACAGATATGACACAAATTAATAAAGATACTTTTTAGTACTGAAAGTTATCTACTTTCACGGGTATTTACTTGAAGTAGTGACTTAAACCTGAAAAAAAAACTGAAAATGTAAGATTTTAGTCTACAGAACTTTACATACGCTCTATTTAACTTAGCTGATAATTGAAATTTTTCTTCGAGTACAAAAATGGACAATAAAATGAAGGCTACTTCTTGACACCCTCTGGCAGTTTAATATGATTCCGGCACATTTGAATAGATAAAAACCTATAAACTAGTTTATCTGACGGTTCCGAATAAAGTAGTGATATATTTAGGAAAAATATGTTCATATTTACATTACTTTCTGTGACCAAAATAAAATTTTCATGATATTTACGACTTACAATACTCGGGAAACTAATCGATTATGGTTATGGTGTATTTAACTCCAAGTTACTAGATCACAAGTTCGAATTCCACCCCACCGCTTACTTTAACTTGGGTCATCGGGTAGAGTACTAGTAGTCCATCTGCTCAAAGTATGACTTAAAGCTGGGTACAAGAATTTATGCTTGGTAAGTTACTCATGAAGCTTAAACTGTTTAAACCAAAGCAGTTATAAATCATATTCTTTTACAAAAGACAGATAAAATAATAAGAATAAAACGAACCACATATCATATTATAAAAAGACGAAATTGTTAATAATTGTACATATACACACAAATCATCCAATGAACACAATCAAACGCCTGAACGATATCACATACACAAACAAGTCAATACCATGAACACGACCTACGTTAATTTTATCCATACGCATATTCTAGCCAAAAATAAACTAGCCATTTGGGCGAATTCTGATTCTAAATCAGGTCCAGTACAACTATAGTATTGTTTAATGAAATCGTCAAGAAGCTGACGACGTTTTTCTTCGGATGAACAATCCCACTGACGTAATAAGCAAGTTACATTATACGTAGCAATATCCTGTTTCGCAGATGCCATGATCTAAAATAAGAAAAAAGCGGAAAGAAACATTACGTATATTGAATGTATAAAACATTGCTACTTACTTGCCAGCTGAGAAAAAACTTTTTTCTGCTTTTTCTATAGCTGATTAATTGTCGCAACGAATTGTCGTTTACGGGTAGTAAAAGTATTGGGCTACTTGTACTATACATAACAGTAGCAGTTAGCATTCTATGATATAAATATCAGCATACAACCCAGAAGAACAAACATTTCGCATTCACAAAAGAATGAATAAATTACCCACCAAATCCATAAGTACTTTGTATTTTAATTGTTGTCATTAAATATTGAAAACCTTGACACTGAAACTGTGCAATAATTTACTAGACGACAATCATAAATATTTTAACAAAGCGCACTTCAAGTATTCATAAAAGTTGGTTTAACGTTAGCTTTATGGCGTTGATAATTGATAAGTAAATGAACTACATTTTTCTGACACAGAACTATCTACACGCTTTTTATTTTCTCTTACCATTCATTTTCCAACTATCCACAATATATCTACCCTAGACCAACGTGAATATTCTAACGGTCTGATCATAGAATAAAACGGAATCACATCGAAACAGTAGTGAGCGCTGACTGTACTTTGCCTCCAAATTTGATTTCAACCGCAGCTCAACACAATTTCTGATTCATCACCAAATACATAAACTAATATTAGACAGCGTTGTCGCATATTCAACCCATTAGAAGTATATAACTGTTTTGCATCACGAAGTTAACTACTGTTTGTTTATATGGTTGAAAGATGACGGACGAATTCTCCCGAAATGTAATTAAGAGTCACACATATACTTTCGGATGCTATTAGAGGATTTCATGTATAACTCAGATCAATCACGATTAATAGAAAGCATAAATATCAGTTTGATTAGGAAAACAATGACATTTTCGTAAATATACTGACCACACTATCGTCACCAAAATCCTAGAAGACCGCTGTATTTATTTCGGGCCAACAATTAAATCGTGATATGAGAACCGTTATTGATTTCCCAGATAAGACTGGTTCGGAAACAATTTTTAAAGCATAGGTTCAGAAGCATCTGTGCTAAATCAACCCAGCCAGTTAGAACATACAATTGCCTCCCCATTCTATCTTAAATTTATCTATGATGTTCTGCAAACAGTCCCACAGACAGTACATGGTGGTAATCGACAGTTCCTCAATGTATTTACCTCAAAATACTGTTTAGGCTTTTCTATGAAAACTATACAACCTAGTTTTTGGTCTGTTACTTCAAATTTGTTACAGACTGTTTGCAACTGATCTTAGTATTTTACAGCAATCTATTCAAGTCCAGTCCATCAGTAAAGGCGGACCCAACCATTATTTCGAGAAGGTAATGACCACTAACATCCAAAATGATCTTATCACAATATCAGTATTGGGTAAGCTATTAGAATAGATTTGCTTTTTTAGTTCCAAATGATAAAAAAAATATGGAGATATACATATTCCCAAAATTGAACGATCGGAACATCAGTCAAGCAAAATGAATGTACTAAGCTTCAGTAAGATGAGTAATTTCAGCATATATTAAGATGGAAACAAGCCAATTTACTTCTAAATAATACACCGTCAGATGACATATTTAGCGAATTCTACACCCTTGCTGCTTTTTTCCGCATTTAGACGAAATTCACACTTAGCTGAGTGAATTCTTTATCAATTACTCGTAAATCAGAAACTTAGGTATTTAACTCTGGATTCATCATCAAGGGTTAAAAACTGGTTTGCACAAAGAAAAGTGATGCTATTTGTTCTCATGATGGATGATTATGTGATATCGAATGAAATTGCAAGTGGTTGGCTAATGATAAAATGGCAAAGTAGGACCTAGGACATGTGTATGGTAGTTTAATTATCAATTTATTACAGAAAACGGCCACTGAGTGGATTTATACACGATGGTAAATGAGGCTAGGAAGTTTGTTTTAAGAAAGCTGGCAACTGCCTACTTACAAATATGGATGCATTTAGGTGTAAATGTGATAAATCCTAGCAGCGACTGTAGCGAGCAAGAATTCTATTGACTTAAATCGAACCCCAGTTGATCTATACGAAGTGATTTACCGTCAATGGAAAGATGCACCACGTTCACTAAAGATAGAGTAAGTTTATTTATTGAACAAAAGCATTGACAATGTACTCGGAAGGAGAGAAATAAAACTGAATATCACAATACCCAGGTAAAGCTAAAGCTCCAAGAATCAAACGTACATTGTTTACGTGTTAGTTGTGTTCTCTGTCAAAATATAAGCGCTTGTGGCAGATTTTATCACCACAAAAATTATTCAATGTCTACAATCGGTAGATAATGAACATTATAACTCTTCGAGTAATCGCACAATAATTTGTCTCAACAATCCACACTCGTGTTATTGTGGTGTTTGTATGAACTAACGATTCCTTTGTACTTATTAAATTTTATTTATTTATTTGAACACATAAATAAATAAATAAAATAAATAAAATTTAATAAGTACAAAGGAATCGTTATTAAATACTTGATCTCGAATTCCAAATACAGTACATTCGTTCGAAGTCATTAAGTACTTCTTGATCCAATTACGTTATTTCTAGGATTTCTAGTCTGTACTATAATTCAAATACTCCTAATTATCACATTGGCGTCGCGACGGAGCCTGTGATGGGACAGTTGGATATACATTTAGGTTTTCATGCTTCGAAATCTGGGCTATGACCAAGGAAGATGTTGAGGATGTTAATATAGTGGCACACTTCCTCGCATTCATCGTAAAAGAAGCATACAGCTTATTCAAAACTCTGGCTTTACCAGAAAAGCCTATTTCGCTTCATTATGCAACTCTCAAGGAACTACCGCTAGACTACGTAAAGTGTACTAATTTCGAACACAGTAAAGGAAAATTTCGTTAAATGATTCATCAGAACATCAAACACTCCACCACATTAATACGACATCCAAATTCAGTGGGTACACAAGGTTATGCAGATAATTCATTGAGGAGTTGCGATGCAGTTCATGAAGATGGGCACAAGTTCGGTCAATGTTTATCTTGTAGAAGAGGTTTCACTCATTTAAATTATGTGTATTTCGTAATTTTAAATGTGGTGAGATTGGACACATTCAGTCAGTTTTTAATACTACGGTTCAATTTGCTGCAACTAATGCTAAAATTTCCAATCGTGATCCTATTAGGTTGAGTGTTTCTAATGATTATTTATCATTATCCACGACTTCAAAAAGCGGTATAGATTTACATAGCAGTCGAGTTAAATGAAAATCAGATTCACTGTGAGACAACCAACTTCTTATCAGATCTTTCATGTCATTGTGCCAGATATGGTTTGTCCTAATGATTCACATATTTGATGAAATTTTATATAAATCTGAGGAAAATGTTGAGTGAATCAAATCATGATCGAAAAACTGATGCAGTTTGGATAGGTGATTTTTTTAACGAACCTTTATTCTTTGATGCAAGTCTTAATAAATTTGAGGAAAATATTTCAGAAGAATCAAATCCTAATGTCATATTATATATTACCTATCCTTATACTGCATTTACTTCTTGTGGGAAACCTGTTCAATGCAAAGCACAAGTACTAAATAAATTCGATATTGATTGCAATTCGGATGATTTCATATCAAATGTTGTTTATACTTATCATCAAGTCACTCCTAATGTATACTCTAGTCAATCTGAGAAATATGTTTTAAATGAAGCCACATCATTCATAACTTGCGGATATGAAGATCGATCGGATTCAAGTCACCTGCTAGTAACGTCAATTTGTAACTTAATGCACACCTAAGAGGTGTGGAATAAGTGTATTAGCAAGCAAATCGGTTTAAAATAGCTCTAATCATTTAATACGAGTATCAAAACGAAACACTAAAAACAGAAAGCTATGGGCATGCATTAAATTCAAGCCCAACGAAAAGTTCAAAATATGAGGCCACCTATCTATCAGATTTTAACGAAATTCTGGGGAATTTTGGCAAGACTTTGAAGTTTTCTCCTCCAAGTCATATAAAAACTCTTAGTTTTTAGTATAGTCTGGAAAAATATTGGAGGAAGCCAAAATTCTCACATGACGTTTTGAGGTTTCAGAAATAATAACTTGAAATCCTGTGAGAAAAACCAGACCAGGAGATATTTTGGTATTCTCGTTGTATTTCCCAAAATCTTCTAATGCAGCGTTGCCGAAATGTTCACAAGACTGATTAAGATTTAAAGCAATTAGTCCCTTTTATAAATTTCGATAATGTAATAAGACGGAGATTATCAGAACTATATGATATATTAGCGCAATACATTTCGAACATATATACTTGTTAAGAGCATTTATATATAAAAATAAAAGGTCAACTAGACTGCAAATGGGGTAAGAGGAGATAAGGATAATAATAATAGTAATGAGTAATAATAATAATAATCTGAACACAATTCAAAACCTAATCACTCTGGATGATAAGTCAATATTACCAGGGTAGGTTTAAGGTAAGAAAAAACTGTTTTTGAATACACAAAGGGGGTTTGAATTTTCGTATGGCTGAGGCTTCAATAAACATTAGTATACGCCCTTTTACACTTTTATATAATACCACAAAAGCCGAGTTTAGATCAATCTTATGCCTTGCTTCAATTATATGTTTAGCAATAGAGGATGATGGATGTTTATCCTCTGCTTTTATTGGATCACTTGATTGTATTTGTTTCTGCAGTCATTTGGGTACATGTCCACTCACCCTAATGTTAAGATTACAATTGCTCCTCCCTATGTATGTGTGACCACACACACATTTAAATTAGTAAACACAGTGGGATGTGACACAATCGTTTTCATGTCTTTTAGGTTTTGGATTAAACATGCAACTTGTTCTTTCTTTGACAATGACCTTTGCTGCGCAGTACGTTTTGCTGATGACTGATTTAAGTATTTGTTTCAATAACAGACTATTTGAATCACCTCTGAATGGTAAGGTGATGAAAACAGGCTTTTTTTCCACCGAGGCCACAGCAGGTCTCACTGTACCGTGGACTTCCCATCTGTTTATGAATTTCAGGGGGTAACCATTTTCTATTAATGTTTTGTTTAACAACTTAACATCATCATCAATAGCGTCATTTGTACAAATGCGATCAAGCCTGTTGAAAAGACACCTTATCAAACCACGTTTGTTTTGCACAGCGCAATAACTATAATAACTAAGGTATTGACCTGTCCACGTTGGTTTTCTAAAAATAAATCGCTTGACTGAGCCATCTTCTCGTCTACTCAGAAGTATATCTAGGAAGGGGAGCTGATCGTCCTTCTCCTCTTCACAAGAGAGACTGATATGGTTTTGGAGGGTTGAATTTATTTAATAAACGGTACATATCCTCTTTTCTTTCACAAACAACTAGGATATCGTCCACATATCTCTAATAAAGTGACATGTTTTCAGTTAAGTTATTAGCCTGATTTTCAACATGAGCCATGAACACGTCTGCTAATAATGGTCCTAGCGGACTATCCATAGCAACCCCATCAATCTGACGAACGTATTCACCTTCAAAAGTGAACTGAACTTTGTCATTACATAATAGCAGTAGATCTTTATAATTTCCCCAGAACCGAGGGCTTGAGAAAAAATCTAAAATTTAAAAGAAATTAACGCTTAACACGATCAAGGAAGAACATACTTATGTTCCAGTATGATGAAGGAGAAGTCATAAATAAATAATCCTGAAAGGATTAGCTTAACATGAACATAACTAAAAATTCAATAAAACGACAAGAAACACACATGAGAAAAAATGTACCGTCTTCAGTAAGAGTTTTTTGTAAATAAACGAGTCATTCATAGATAGAAACAACAAACCTCCGTTAGTAATTCGAAACGACAACCACAGTCGAAAAACGAAAGCCCGCAATAGCTCACATGGCAACCCTCAAAGAATCTGGAATGGATTTAAACGCACCTCATTCAAACTAATTCAGTCACACTTATGAATTCGTCGTCTTTTACGTAGTGGTTACTTGCGCAGAAAGATACGGCAACTCTATGGCTTTTATTCTGGATGTACTTACGATCTTCCAGGTGTTCTAGAATTACAGATATTTAATGCAATTTAAACGACAAATGACGTAATCTCCTGTTCTGGCCAGTAAAATTCAGCAATTATTTGAAGTACTAGCTACTCGCTAATTCTTCTGATAAATCCAAACTCGATGGGAAATTTCTATTCTACATCTGTCGTTAGGATTCTATGTTCCATAATCATGGTTACATTTGTAGCAGGAACATTGAGATAATGTTAGTGAAACAAACTGGAGCGAATTCAGTCATACAAAAAGTTTAAATGGGTTCTTTAATGAAAGCAAACATTTTAGGGTAGTTGTTGTCCCCTGACTGTGGACCCTATGCATAATAGACCATAGATACTTACACTGATAGCCTGAAGAATAGTATATTAATGTGATGAGAGTCACTGAGCAGAGGAATTTGAAATATTACTGCTCGACACCACCTGTTCATTAGTGGGTGTCAAGTTTGATCCGTAGTAGTCAGACGTTTCTTGTTATTTTCTAACATTATAGTGAAATCCAGTCTTCAGCAATAAGGATAGAAGGTCTATCGACTTATATTAATCCTTGCAGTTTGTATCACTATGAAGGGCCAATCTCGTTTTGAATATATCAACAGAATGTGCTGATGTTACTTGCTCTGGTAGAAAATTCGGTGAGACTATAATTTATTGACGGCCTGTAGTGACCTACTTTTGTCAACAGAACGCGATTGGATCGATGAAAACAATTATTATTATAACCAATTGTACCAGTGACTGTTTTACTGTGCTCGTTTATTTAACTGTGCTAATGACAGCCATTATACTTACTTACTCTCCCGTTGACTTTGAACTTGTACGAATTCGGTTACGCTCAGTAACCACGCTTGTACTCCTTTGGCCCGAACTCGGTATTCTTTCGATACCACGAGATCGCCAACAAATACATCTCGACTACAGCCATCATCTGTCTTCTGATATTGGCCTACAGGAATCTTATTGGTTAATTGGCACGTAGTCTTGTAGCGGTGTTCATAGTCAAGCTCAACTCGACACCACGCTACAATTGGTGAGCCAAATATTGGAACACGCCTCGACCTCGGTCAAATCTTCCAACGAAGTCATTTCGGTGAGTCTATTGTTTTGTCTATCCACGTCTGTCGTATATTTTCATATTAATTTTTAATATATGATATACTCGACATGACGGATAACGATAAGAATAGTATTAATATAATAGACTCCGATTTACGCGTACCGAATCCTCGGCACTTTTTATTCGCGTGACGATAAATTCCACGCCTTATTCGAGAAATTCCCCAGAATAACTAAACCACTCAAGGAGATTTCATCGGTGACCAATCGTGTGGTACACCACATAGTCACCCGCGGACCACCAGTCACAGCAAGACCACGCCGACTGGCACCGGACAACTTAGCTTTCGCTAAACGTGAGTTTGACAATTTACTCTCTACTGGTATTATTCGTCCTTCTCACAGTCCTTGGGCCTCTCCTCTTCACATGGTGAGCAAAAAGGATGGGGTTGGTTGGAGACCATGCGGCGACTACCGAGCATTAAACGTAGTTACGCGCTTCGATAGCTACCCCATCCCCCACATACACGACATCACGGCATTGCTCAAGGGCACGACTATCTTTTCTAAAATCGATCTGGTACGAACATATCACCAGATCCCAGTCGCTCTTGAAGATATCGAGAAAACTGCTATCACGACTCCTTTCGGTCTGTTTGAGTTCCAACGAATGCCATTTGGATTTCGGAATGCTGCTCAAACTTTCCAAAGGTATATCGATAGCATAGTACGAGACTTGGATTTCGTTCACGTCTATATTGATGACCTGCTAATCGCATCATCAAACGTAGAGGAACATTATCAACACCTTACGCTATTATTCCAACGTCTTTCGGATAATGGAATAGTAGTCAACCCAGAGAAATGTGAATTGGGTAAATCAGAAATAATATTTCTGGGTCACATCATCAGACAAGAGGGTATTCTGCCTTGCGAGGACAAAATTCGAGCAATCAAGGAGTACAACGTGCCGTCCTCAATCAAGGAACTGAAGGCTTTTCTCGGTTTGGTCAACTTCTACCGACGTTTCATCCCTCACGCGGCAGAACGGTTACGACCATTAACCGATTTACTACGCGGTAATCCACGCAAATTAGAATTGAACGATACCGCATGTACTGCATTCTCAGAGATCAAAACGGCTCTCGCTGAAGTTACACTCCTCGCTCATCCTGACCCATCAGCCACGCTTAGTATAGCGGTTGATGCATCAGATTTCGCTATAGGAGCCGTCATGCAACAGAATATCTCCGGTAGTTGGCAACCGCTTGAATTTTTCTCACGACACCCTACTCCCACGGAGACGAGATATAGCGCTTTTGGTCGCGAGCTGCTTGCAGCCTACTGCGCCATCAAACATTTCCGGCACGCAGTAGAAGGACGCCAATTCATTTTATTCACCGACCATAAGCCCTTAACGTATGCCCTGCATACCAAGTCTAACCGCTACTCACCACGAGAGTGCAGACATTTGGACTATATCTCCCAGTTTACGACAGACCTTCGTCACATTAAAGGAGAGTTGAACTTTGTTGCCGACGCTCTATCACGTATCCAGACGAATGCAGTTACTTTACCGGTGCTCGATCTTCCTGCTATGGCCGCTTCACAAGCAAACGATCCTGTCTGTACAGAAGCACCACAATCTTCGTCCCTTCAGTGTCAGGAAGTACCCCTAGCTACTAGCTCAGGTACTATCCTATGTGATATTTCTACCGGTCTACCTCGACCCATCGTACCCTCTACCTATCGCCGTCTCGTCTTTGATGCCCTTCATGGATTGTCTCATCCAGGTATCGCAGCCACATTACGTCTCATCGCTGCACGATACGTCTGGCCGTCCATGAATAAAGATGTTCGTATGTGTGTAAAGCAATGCTTACAGTGTCAATGATCAAAAGTGCATAGGCACGTAGCTGCCCCATTGGCACGTTCGCTACGCCTGATGCTCGCTTTGATCACGTTCATATAGATATTGTAGGACCATTGCCACCATCGCATGGGTATGATCACATACTCACGTGCATTGACCGTTTTACAAGATGGCCCGAAGCTATTCCCATCACGTCTATCACGGCGGAAACAGTTGCTCACCGCTTCGTAGAACGATGGATAGCATTGTACGGTTGTCCATCGACTGTCACGACTGACCGAGGACAACAATTTGAGTCCGCATTATTCTCCTCACTGACCCGGCTGTTTGGTACGGAACGCATACGCACTACCGCCTACCATCCAGCATCGAATGGTTTAGTCGAAAGGTTTCACCGCCAACTTGAAAGTGCTCTCCGAGCACACGAAAACGACAATTGGTACGAAACCTTACCGCTCGTTCTCTTAGGCATCAGAACGAGTTTGAAGGCAGATACTCAATGTTCCGCCGCTGAACTTGTATACGGCACGACATTGCGTCTGCCTGGGGAATTCTTCACACCACGGAGCAGTAATGATTTCGGTAAATCAGACTACGTCCATCGACTGTCTGCATTTATGCGAGCGCTGTCTCCGGTGTCAACTCGAATACAACATCGACAGGTCGCTTTCCCTCGAGAGTTATCTACCTGTTCACATGTTTTCATACGAGTAGATTCGGTACTCAAACCATTGCAACAGCCTTACGAAGGCCCTTTTCACGTGATCTCTCGTCACGAAAAGACCTTCAAGGTTGATCGACACGGCCGCGTCGAGATCGTCAGCATTGATCGTCTCAAACCAGCACACGTCGATGACAGTGCCCTACCCGATAACTTGAGACTCAATGCTAGACCTATCAAACCTTCTAGCGAGATCTCTACGTCTACCTCGGATCCCACGCTAGAAACATCAGACCTCGTTCTCACGTCCCGGTCAACAGCACGCGTCATCTGCACCATCTACGGACGAGACTTCCGTCTCACGTCCAGATCGGCAGACCACGCCGCCCTTGACCTCGGATGAGATCGCAGGCTCACGAAGTACGAACGAGACCACCGTCTCACGTTCCGGTCGCGGAGTACGATTACCCGTACGCTTTCGCGACTAAACGCACAGTCAACAACGAATACCGTGTAGGAATATTCCTATACTACATGCATGCTACACTTTTCTTTTTTTGATTTTTTTTTGTATCCTGAGCCCACGCCTCCGACCATCACCCATTTGGTAACGTCGACTTCAGTCAACTTTGGCAAAAGGTGGCTTGGCCACCCACACTCTAGTCAACGCACTCAGTCGATTATCTGGTCTCGAATTCGCCTGGCGTACGCTTGGTCGTTATGGTCGCTTCCAGTTTCTTGGCTCAACGTGGTTTCGTCCGACGTCTGCAGCGTTTTCTGGTCCGCATCCATACGAACGCAATCATCAGATCCTGGATACAAACCACTCTGGTGTGGTATGCTAATTCGACCAACAAATACAGCACACTTCTCCTAGTACCGTTCTGCGCAAAAGACTTTCGTTGGAAACTCGAGGATCAACGATCACTTCCTGTTCCGCCAATTTCCTCCGTCCTTCAACCGCAATTCTGCCGATCAGTCCCACGAATCAAACCGCTAACTATCGAAAGTGTAAACCCTTTCTAGCGGGGGGCTCCTGTAGTGACCTACTTTTGTCAACAGAACGCGATTGGATCGATGAAAACAATTATTATTATAACCAATTGTACCAGTGACTGTTTTACTGTGCTCGTTTATTTAACTGTGCTAATGACAGCCATTATACTTACTTACTCTCCCGTTGACTTCGAACTTGTACGAATCCGGTTACGCTCAGTAACCACACTTGTACTCCTTTGGCACGATCTCGGTATTCTTTCGATA